GGCCTGGATACTTATAATGAAGCAAATGTTTGAAGCTCTATCAATATGTTTAATTTATCCTAAACATCACTTCCCTTTCCCGTCTAAGTATGTGAAAATTTGAGACAACATTGCCAGTCAGAACTATCACAGGATAATTGTTAATAATTCATTATAGAAGTTTAGCCACTCTGACAATGAATTTGAGGCCTCTATGTATTTTCCTCACAGTAAAAAACAAACCTACAACGTACATAGCCCTCATGATCTAATGGAACTGTAAAGTTCTAATCCTGCCTCTGCCACTTCCTCACTGTATGGCCTTTGAAAGAGCTACCTCGAAAATATACAACTGTTACATACGAGTATTCTAGCCCTATTGCATTCCTTAACTGGAAGGTTTCCGCTGTATGCATTTTCTTACTGAATATAAAACTGCTTGTTACTTTCATCTCTTTTGATTGTTAATATGATGCTGGTAAACCAGGTACCAGCTCTTGCCAAGTCTGTAGCCATCAGCTGAGCACTGACAAATTCATAGCTGTAAACCAGACCAGCTCACCGATATGTTAGTATTGTTCAAGATAGGTGTTAGACTTGAAATAATGTTTTTTGTGTACAGATTCTATAAAATGCTTGTAAATTGCTGCATGCATTAATCTTACCTGTAATGTCTGTATTCCCTGCTGCAAGATACATTATCTTTGTTTTATAATAGTACAAATGCCTGCTCTGAACCCAGACAGAAAGAGTGCCTCTCCCCTCCCCTTTCCAGGAGGGCTATTAAAATTAATCAGGCCTTTAAGACAAAAGCTTTGTTGATTGCCCCATCCGCACATGCAGAAGTACGTACAGAAGGCCTCATCCCGTTGGTTTGAATGCTGGAAGAGGGAAATAAAGACAGTTGACATGAATACCTCTTTGCTGTTTGGACTCTTACAAGGGCTAGTGCTAAGAATCAAAAAGCAGAGATCCCCAGGGTCAACCTGGCATAGCCCTTAAAAGACATTCAGCACTGATCGGTTACTACATCTGTCACCTTTTGAGACATAGATTTAACTAATTTGTGCATATATGCTGCCTGCTTTAACCTGTAAATAACTCATTTTTTCCTAGTTAATAAATCCTTACTTAGTTTACTATAAGATTGGCTACCAACATTGTCTTTGGTTTGAGATCTAAGGTACAAACTGATCTGGGGTAAGTGACTGGTCTCTTGGGACTGGGAGCAACCTGAATATTTTGTGATTTTTGGTGTAAGTGATCATTTATCACTAAGTCTAGCTGGCCTGGGTGGCAAGATAGACTGGAGAGCCTAAGTGAACTGTCTATGGTGCACGGAAAGACTGTTACAGTAGTCCAGGAGTTCACAGTCGTTACTGGGCTGGGGAAATCTAATTATAGAACATACCACCACCATGCATTTGTCAGTCTGCCCTGAGGTAGGCATGTGCAGTCATGAGCCATTTCAGAGAGTGTAACAGTTATCACTGCCTTTTCACTTTCCTTTCGATTCCTGTGCTTTCAGCTCCCCCTTTTCTTTTCCTGATCTCCCATCCTTTGTGCTGCTCTTTCCTTGGTGTCCCTTGCCTTTTTTTCAGCAACAAATTTAGGAATTTAGCAGCTTAACATCCTTCACTGCAGCATGCTAAAATGACATTAAGTGAGAGAATATTGAAAGATCAATGAGCTATAGCAAATGGGATGCACATTTGACAAACTGGTTCAAGAGGTAGTCCAACTCCACTAGCCAAATTCAAGCACAGTCTTTACCAAACCAAATGTGTATCAAGATTGTCAGATGTGTGAAACATCTTCTAGACTATGTATTTTCAAAATTAAATTTCTCAAAGCATTCTGGAGTCCAATAATAACTGTTCTATACTCTCAAAACAAAATGAGGTGGGAAAGGCTTTCTTTAAAGGAAGAAAATGATCAGAAGTGGTGTCTTATTTTTACTTATGCCTGGCTTTTAAGATACCCATAATTGATGTCCAAGTTCCCATTTGTAGCTGATCATTATCATTATCACATTCTCAAGCATTTGTGACAGCACTAATCTCCCTGGTAGGACTGGATATCCCATAGCAATTACACTGAATAAAATCCAATTGCAAGAGAAGAAAAATGGTTCAGATGTTGGTGAGTATGTTGTAAAGTTACAGCAAATTGAAATGCCATTTAGAATTTTTTCAGGATTTCTCCTACTTAGGCCAGCACAGTCATTCAGCTTGTTCTCATTACCTCCTTTGATGCTCAAATTTGATAGTTTACCGCTGTGCATATCACCACACTGCATTGGCAATACTTTGCAGTTGTTTTTATTGAGGAATCATTTACAAATATTTTACAACATTTCATAAGAAAATAAAATAATTTGTGAAAGCTAAAAGGGACACAGCAGGAGCTCTCTCTCCAATCTCACTTTTGCAATTCAATCTCCGAGCACGGAAAAGCAAAACTGTCAAAATTATAAAACTATTAGGTTTCTCTGTCACTGAGTTCAGTTATTACTGTTACTGCAAATGTACTATGCTCCAGTGGCAATTCATTGGTAGCAAACAATGAGACAAGAGCTCAACTTTGATTAATATTCATGACCAGCCCACATTTCATATGTTGATTAAGCACACTGCTAAGTCTTAGAAGAGGATATTAAACCAGGAGATATTGGAACTGTCATATAATATATGGGATGGAGCAAGCAAAGTAAATAAAACTGGAGCTACCTTGAACTACAGCGAAGCTCAGCCGCATCACCTACATGTAATGCAGAATTCCTTGGCACAACGAACGTACATCAACCTGTCTGCTCCTACATACTGTGAAACAGATAGATTCTCTAGTGGCACTGAGCATGGTTCAGCCATAAGCACATTGGTACCCCAGGCCAAGATGGGATTCAATGCCCCTTTCTGCCCGATTACTTTACCCACTGTTGTGAGGGGATGCTATAGTTGCACTACAATTACAAATTTTCTACACATATACATGCATACGTTCATAACCATAATCTATATCCATATCTCCTACTGATCATTAAGTTTATAACATTACAAGCTTTCGTAAGAGACCTTACTTGACATAGTTATACTATTACTACCACGACAACAAAAACATTGTATACAACTAGTTGATTCAATTGCTTATTCTCTAGGGTTCAGACCCTGTTCTCCCCTGGGGGTGTCTGGACGATGACTATCACACCCAGTATCAGTACTGGTGGAGGAGGTGGACAGGTCCTGTGAAGGAAAGGGTTTTCCATGTAACATTTCAAAGAGATACATGAAACATCAGATGAATCTTCAGAGAGAGAGAGCGAGCGGTGTTGCTGAAATTCAGAAATGACTGGATTGACCTTAAGCGGCCCAAGGAACCGAAAGTCCAACTGGTAAGCCAGTCTGTCTGTGCAGAGATGCTCCCTGGAAAACCTCACCTTTTGCCCCACTGAATAGGTGTGGCCTTGCTGTTGAGGCTGGTCCATATGCTCTTGTTTTTTCCATGTGATGCTTAACTTCCTTCTGTGACCGATGAATCGTCTCCACTAGGTCTGAGGTGGCTAGTTTGGGAGACGATGCCGGTAATTGCAGGTGGACTCAGAAGTGGTACTCAGTTGGTAAAAAAGGTGCTTTGACCCATACACACACATGCACTGACACCAACTTTGTTCTTTCCCCAAGGGGGGCTCGGCCCCTTTTTCCTCTCTTCATTCTTATAATGGATTGTCTACACAGTTGGTGAGACACATGAGGGCATCCAGACTCACAGGCACCTATAAATTTCTTCTCACGGGCCCCATCGGAACCGGTACAGCTGTGCTGCCTCATTCCCATTTGAATCAGCCACAAGGTGGCAGAACTGTGCTGCACAGGAGGCTAGGAGTGCTCTGCCCCTGTCGGAACTTTGTTTAGGCAGCCTCTGTAGGACTGAGACTGCATCATGAACAGGAGGCAGCATTGGTTTATAAAACCCTAGAATCACCTGCAATCATCATCAAACCGTTCCAGCAGATGTATTGGAGAACAGAGGTGTGTCTCGACTGCAGCATTTTTGGCAAGCAATTGTCTGATTTGCTCGTGCAACAACTGGCTCCCCAAGGTTAGCTGGATGACCTGGGCCTGCAGGGCTTGGTTGTACTCCTAAAAGTGGGCAGCCCACTCAAGTGTGTCCAATGCTCCCAAAAGGCTAGACAGCTCCATTCTGCCAGCATCGGGCTCACTCCTGTGGCCTAAGTGGTCCATGCAAGCTGCAATGACTGGGATGTGAGCGATATATCCTAGTGGTTGGAGTGGGAGTTGGGAGCAGGGCCAGATCAGATACCAGGTCAGAGTAGGAGACAGACCAGAAGGCAAAGCAAGAGTGTCAGGAAGCAGGCAGGGTCAGGTTACCAGGTGGTCAGAGTCAGGCAGTAGGAGCAAGGAACTGCAAGGGAATCTGTCCTAAGCAGGGGAAACCCAGTTGCAAGACAACTTCCTGTTCCTGTGCTCAGTTGTAATACAAGCAGGGAACCAATCAAGACCCGCAGCATTCTGCCAGTCAGATCCCAGGATGAGTCTTCTGTCAGAGTTCAGCTTCTAGCTCTAGCAACTGTTGGCAACTCAGAATTTAATGGCTCCAGAAAGTGCTCTGGACCAGGGTTTGAGATCCATAGTCCCTGAAACCACCTTAGTGTCCAGTTTACATATGAAAAGTTAAGATTTTTATAAAGCAATTAAATAGGGGGGAAAAAAACCCCTCTGCCCTGCCTTAACCTCTGTTCTTATTTCCTACCATCTTCACAAATGAACAGGTCTCACTTGTCCCTTCTTTATCTTTTTCTCTTGAGCCTCTTTTGACATTATGCCTTTTTCTATACTACTCCGAGCCCTGGGACTCTCCCTCCCTCCCTCCCTCCCAGTGTGACATGAACCTACCCTCTTCCCCCACCCCCACCCCGTCAAAGTAATGCTACAAAATCCACTTCATACTAGACAACATTTCACCGCCCTGCTAATCCCCATCACTAAAATGCTGTCACTTACCAATTATGTTGGTTTCATTTCTCCTTATCGCCTTGGAAACAGAGCTTTGCCTCCACAATACCTTTATCTAACAAGAGGCTGAAGGTTCCAAAGATCTGATGTCACTTCTGTACCTAGGTCAACGTATCTCACTTTTTACTATTCATTAGGCTATTGAATCAGTCTGGATATATTAGCATGAAATATTACTTGATTTTTAGTAGGAAAGCAATGTCTTTATCAAAATGAAAGGTTTTTTTCCCCAGACATGCGTGAGCTGAAATGACAGTAGAACACATTGTTGTGGGATGTTCTTAAATCGTAGCAGAGAACAGTAACAGCCTCATACAATAATAAAAAGTCAACATATCTAGGATTAAAAACCACTTAATAATAATTCCATTTATTCACTCTGTACTCCCTGTTCATCAAGTGGTACAAGATTACAACTCTTACAGTCTGAGTCCACAGACAGGACACTAATATTGGAACAGGGAAAAAGCCCCTCCCTTGAAAAGGGCATCAATTCCCAACAATTTTGCTGGCACATGGTCCAAATGCTACCACCAATGCTGAGTAGTGATGAGCCCCACTGGAGTCTAGAGAATATCTTTTAAACATATATTTTAGTTTCCTTTTAATGGTCACCAGAGTAACCACAATACAGGAAGCATATTGCATTCTTCAAAAGAAATCCAGAAGGAAACTAGAAATTAACACACAAGCAGTGATTCAAAGAGGTTGCATCTCTTATCTTTTGCCCACAGTCACTATTTCACTTTTAAAGGAACATTTTAAGTTCATTTCTGTAAAACTAGCAACTTTGGGGGTGTGTGGGTGATGATCATAACCCCCATAACACTCCTTTCAAGATCCATGGATCCTATACATGCCTATTACACCATCCAGTGCACTAAATGCACCAATAGCAACTATGTGGGTGAAACCAGACAATCTCTATGCTCTGGAATGAACTCACACAAGAAAATGATAAGACAAAAAACACCACATCATCTGTGGGTGAACACTTTTCACAAAGCAATCACTCTGCATTTGACCTATCAGTCCTCATCCTCAAAGAAAATCTGTACACGTCTTCAAAAGACAAACCTGGGAGCTTAAATTCATAACTATGCTAGACACTAAAAGCCATGGACTGACCAGAGATGCCAGATTTATGGCTTATTACAACAATCTATAATCCACTAAACCCCCCCATCCCAATCCCACCCCCAGATTTTTCTCATCTTCCCCTCATATGATTGGAGATATGGGCCATTTCACCTTGAATGGTCTCTTGAAATGTGTTAACCACTTACGCTAAACAATCTGTTGCACCTTATATTTAGCTGTGACATGAAGTACATTTCCCAGACCTGAAGAAGAGTTCTGTGTAGCTCGAAAGCTTGTCTCTCTCACTGACAGAAGTTGGTCCAATAAAAGATATTAGCTCACCCACCTTGTCTCTCTAATATCCTGGGACCATCATGGCTATGACACTGCATACAATCTGAGAAATGTCAGTTCTACAGTAGGTTTAGATTTAAAGCAAATCTAAGTAGAAATTCTGATTATTTTTACAGTTTATTAGAAATACCTGTTTTAATAAGACAATATCCAGAACATGGACACACTGTCGCCTGTTGTAAAGGTTATGCAAGAGCAGAAAAAACAAGAGAGTTTTCAGACACTGCAGTGTCCTGCTCAGCAGAGACGACTCAAGATTTGATAGTAATGAATATACAGTAAAGGATCTTTACTCAGTCTGCTGGTTTCAGACAGACTGTAGTTCTTCATGTTTCAGAGTAGCAGCCGTGTTAGTCTGTATCCGCAAAAAGAACAGGAGTACTTGTGGCACATTAGAGACTAACCAATTTATTAGAGCATAAGCTTTCGTGAGCTACAGCTCACTTCATTGGATGCATAGAATGGAACATATAGTAAGATATATATACATATAGATAAGTTGGAAAAAGAAAAGGAGTACTTGTGGCACCTTAGAGACTAACCTTAGTACGCCTTTTCTTTTTGCGAATACAGACTAACACGGCTGTTACTCTGAAATAAGTTGGAAAGTTACAATACAAACTGTGAGAAGCTAATTAGTTAAGATGAGCAATTATCAGCAGGAGAAAAAAAAACATTTTTGTAGTGATAATCAAGATGGCCCATTTAGACAGTTGACAAGAAGGTGTAAGGATACTTAACATGGGGAAATAGATTCAATATGTGTAATGACCCCGCCACTCCCAGTCTCTATTCAAACCCAAGTTAATGGTATCAAGCTCAGCAGTTCTTGTTGGAGTCTGTTTTTGAAGCTTTTCTGTTGCAAAATTGCCACCACAGCCTATTCTGCCAACTATCACCATATGGGATCTTTCTAACTTCACCCTCACTCTGCCTTCTCCCCTGCAAACTTCAAAGAAGAAGCAGCAGCAGCAGCCTGTATCTTCTGATCTAAAAAGTAAAGAAAAAAGACAGAAGGAGGTTTTGTGTTTCAATAGAATTTACTGCCTTGGGGCAGGGAGGACAAAAGTGGCTTTAAGCTACTCTTACACCTTTCCAGCTCCAGCACGACAAGTTCAGAAGGCTATTATAGTTACTGCTTCCACCTTGAATTTCCTAGGAGGTGGCAGTGCTAGAATGCCTGTAGCTCTCTGGGCCCACCTCTGACATGCCCCCTTCCACCCACCCCTGCGGGAACCAGGACTTGAAAGGAGGGAGATCCATGTTGGGCTACTTAAGTGGCCTTACACAATGCCTGTGTCAGGGAAAACCCCCACTGAGTGTTTTTACAGCTCCTATATGTGGGCTGTAGCAAGGTGACAATCTCACCCACAGTGTGCAGTTTACCCTACTGTAATTAGATTGGAAATCTCTGAAGTGTAAGTAGATGGCTTGATTCTGAAAAGAACTGGCGAGATCAGAATCAGGTACAGAGTTTGTTACTGTAGATATAACTGTTTCTATATGTACTCCCTGTCTGTCAGGGGGACTCTGTTTTTACACTGTGGATAACCAAAAATGGAACAATAAAATCAACCAAAACCTGAAGATGAGATTTGGCCTAACCTAATCATTAGCTATGGCTAATGAACTAGTCTGGCTTGGAACAATGATTGTAGAGCATTAGTAGCGTGAATGAACAAAGTGTGTGTAGGAGTAGGAAAAAAACAGCATTATTTAAGCCAGCCCACCAATTGAAATACTGTTACTATTAAAAGCAGATTAATTATTCCTATTCTTTAATATATTATTTATATGCCAAATGTTCTAGGAAAGCCCAATTACTTGGCAGGGTGAGGCGTTTTACCCCTTTTTGGAAGCACTGCCAGTCTCAAGAAAATGAAGTGAAATCAGATTCTGTATTCTCAAGATAAAACAGATCTGTCCAGCATGTGCAGCATACAGACAACAGATCAATATGCTTTCAGATTCAGAGCTGGCAACACTTAATGGCTGGTAGAAGATAATATCAATGCTTTGAAGCAATTCTATGGGAGTGAGAAGGAGTCCCTGTCAAGTCTCTATTTTAGAATAAAATTCCCTACCTTTTGAGAAATACCAGCAATCAGATAAGTCCTCAGATATAATCTTTTATTAGCCCCGGAATCCAAATACCTTAAATACATTTGTCAGGCTATTCTTTCAGAAATAACCAGAGAGAATGAAATGGATTGCTAATGAGCTATAGACCTACATTTTTTTTAAATGATCTTAATAAGCCAAGTATTTTAAAAGCACAAATTATAAAATTCTGTAGATAACAAGAAGAGATAGTGGGTAACATTTTCTAAAGGAGCGTAAGTCACTTGGTTGCTAAATCTTAAGGGCACAATTTTAAAGTTATTTAGGACCGAAAGATGCAGTGAGGCAACTGGTGGAATTTTCAAAAGGCCCTGAAGTTGATGGGAGGAAGGGACCTATGTACTTTTGAAAAGCCAACCTGGTACCGATCTATAACTTTTAAAATCTAGCACTACTCACACTGAAAGTCATGTCGATGGTTTTTGGGACATGTCTACACAACAAACGGCACAGCTACAGCACTAAAGCTGTAGCACCATAGTGTAGACATGTCCTGCATAGGACACTTGCGTAGCCTGTTGTAAAATTAGCCAAATATTTAGAGGAGTTGGTGTACCCCTAGGGGTATGTGTACCCCTAGTTGAGAACCACTTTAGCGCACTGGCTCGAGTAGAGCTAGAATGAGTCTGTATACACTCCCACCTGCATTTTACTCATTATATTAGACACAACTTTCGGACCTATACTATTGGAGTGCAAAGCAGCCCTTCTTTTCCTTTCACTATTGTGAGGAACTATACTGTGGCCCTCTACCCTCTGGCTTAGGAAGAATAAATGGGACTCTCTTTAAAGCCTCTTACTGCTGTTTGTTAGACATAGATGTTTTTCCTCAAGCAATACAAGGAATACCCTACCTTCCTGGAGGAAAGGGTCTAGGCCTCAAATATTTCCATGCAAAGCACTTCCACTAGGTCTCCATAAATAATGCTCTATACATGAAGTGCAAATACTTAAACACCTCCAACATGACCAGATCATTAATGATGTTTGTCGTTATTGGTCTTTCATTTATATTTTGATGTTTTTCCTGTCTTGCAGATTTAAAGCTGGTCGTTTTATTAGCTTTTTTTGACATTCAGCCTGGCATTACTAAAAAGTCTCAAGTGCCTTTTGCCATTGATTTCTTTTGAAATATATCTAAAATGATTTACAACAGTGTTACTCAAAGTGTACGACTGATCTCCCTGGGACGGCTCCAGCTTGCAGGAAAACCATAAAAGCCCAATCCTGCTTCCATCAAAATCAATAGGAATTTTGCTGTTGGTTTTAATAGGAGGAACAGGCCCTAGCCAAGACAAGCTCCACACACACACACACACACACACACACTAACTTATAAGGAATATAAGCAGCATGTATGACCAGGGTTTTGATGTAAAAAATTCAAATGCATTCTTCATATGGACCGTCTGATATCTAAGAAATGAAATAAACATTGCTGCATTTATTTCCATATTTACCATTCCAAATACATGCACATCTATCCAGAGCCCTGCAGTTAAGAATGTAGTGGAGTCACAGACACTACATGTCCATGCACTAACCTGCTTTACAGAAGTTTTAAACGTTGGTTTACAAAGAATACATCTTTCAGCTGCTCCTGCTGCATTGTATTATTTGAAGCACCCAATGTGAAAAAC